CACTATCAAAGAATATTGAAAAAGCATATGCATTCCACTCCTTCAATAATCCCTTCCAAATTAAAGCTTTCTTAATGGTAACATAGACATCGTTTTCATGCAAATATCATACAAGTAAAAAAAGGATGAAAACTATACCAATGCAAACAAAAATGATAAAAATCTGGCTATGACAGGTTGAGACCTTCTCATCCATTAAACTCATATCAATAATGTTCAATTCGTACGACTTCAAGTAACATATTGCTTCCATAAATGAACAACCCGTCTATTTTCAGTCATCAATATAAGTATTTACATCACTAAACAAGTGATATGGTGAACTCATTTTGGTTATTATCAAAGTTCTAACAATTATATCTAAATTTATATTTCACATGCCTCATTTATACTAACAAAAAATAGCAGGTCACATACCATATTATAAGAAGACAACTGAATAGCCAAACCGATTACCATGCATTTTAGAGGCACAATAACTTGGACAACATATAAACCACTAAAAACACCTACCAAAATATCAAAAAATGTCATTAAATGGTCAAATATTACCCGTAACCGCAGCTAGCCGAAGGCCCACCTCCGATCGAACACCACATTAAAAAAAAGGTGTCATAGTTTTTATTCCCAAATCGAGTTAAATCTAGCAAGATAAACGCTCTAGAAATGCTCTTGCCATAAATTAGCAAAAGCTCTATTAAGTTATATAGGATATAGATATCTGAAGACAAAAATCAACTTTGTCTTACCGATAAATTGCCTTTGAATATGATAACATGTAAGCAAATAAAAATACATTGAACGTCAAATAAGGTGCATTTGGCCCGTTGGAATGGATGAAATTCGGCAGAAAAAGAACCCAATTCCGGCACATTCCAGTTTTGGTTCAGCTTTGTATGACAAAAATTAATCCTAAATAAAAATATTTACATCCGACTGGGGAAAACATTTTCCTTCAATAAGATGATAGAATTAATTCCCAACTATAAAGGAAGAGGGCATTTTACTTTATTACCCTTCTTTAATTTCACGATATAAAACCCATATTTTAAAAATAAAATCTCTTATTTCTCCGGCGCACACAATTATAATCTACATCTCCTTTGGCGACCTATTCCTCTAATGTTTTCTTCTTTACCGAAAGTGAGTTTGTTCCTCCATCCCCCCTCCCCCGCCCCCACATCTCTATTCTCTAATCACTACAATCTACCATGAAAACAAAATTAGGTGTTGATTTAATTTGAAAGATTGAAATTGACGAGATCTTCCTTAACTTTGCTTTAATATGAAATCGATACTCCAACCTTGTAATCCTCTATGAAATCGATGCTCTAATATGGTACATGAGCTTGTAATCTTCATGAACTTTCGTAATCTGCTATGTAATATGCTTATAGTTATTACATTCATCTTGTAATCTTGAAAAAGTTATTACCTTAATTTTGAAATCGACTACAGATATATAGATTAATGATATAGATTTGATTAATGTGAGCTTGTAATATGTTATTAAGAGAAAAACTGAAATTCATGCCTTTAATTCTCTAACCCATAATCATAATCAGACTTGTATTTTCACATGGATTGTATGAATTGGAAAAAGACATGAAAAAACTCATGGATTGTTTGTACTGAGTGAGAAGATCCCTCCAGAGATTTTAAAGATGAATTCACCAAGTCAAATCGATAAATTCAAAGCATTGAGTAAGATAAGAAGTGATTATATACATGTATAAAACTTTTGGCAAATTGAAGATGGCGATAGAGAGGTTTGGGTCAAATACATTTTGGAAGGGAGGTATTATTAATTACGATGTTAATTCGTATTTTGGAATTTTAATTTTTTTTGGGATGATTATTAGGATGTTGATAGGTATATTGGATTTGTAAGGTTTTGGTATCTTCGGTTGGGATGTATCAAAAGATGGTATGGTTTTTAGTGACATTATTAGGATATGAAGCAGAATGACTTTAAGTTATGAGTTTATTAACATAATTTTCCTAATATATTTGACATCAATATAATTTTTGGTGACATTTTTGTTGATAGGTATCTTCGGTTGAGATCTATCAAAAGATGGTATGGTTTTTGGTGACATTATTAGGATATGAAGCAGAATGACTTTATGTTATTATGAGTTTATTAACATAATTTTCATAATATATTTGACATCAATGCTTAATCAATAAAATAAAATTTTACTATTTTATGATTTATATAATATATCTTTATATAAAAGTTAGAAACCAAAGAAATATTAAGCTAAACATACAAAAGGGCAATACAAAAGGGCAATGTTGTCATTTTACATGAATTCCAATTAAACCTATTGAAAATAAATAATACCCGATTAATCCGATTGACCTTTTTCAATTTGGATAGATTGGGTGGGATAAATCGGGTATCAAGTATGAAAATTCAGGTAATCGATTAACTCAATATTTAATTGGGTTAGGTAAAAGGTAGGCGTGAAAAAATTCGGATATACACGACCACCCGATTTAAAAATATTTTTTTTTATAAGTAATAAAGATTATGTCTCCATCTACTAATCATATTTTCACAATCACTTTGAGTGCGTCATCTTAACATATATATCATCTAATAGCCTAATAACAATATAATATGTCATAAAACAAATATATATTGTCCTGTGCGTTCTCTTAACAACCCCATTTTCTTTTCTTTTTTTACTGTAAATTTTTAGATATTTTTTTGGGTAATACCTGAAATATCAGAACACGACGTAATACCCGAATTACCTAAACCTGATTACCCGAAGTATACTACAGTTTGGTTATCAGTTATGTTTTTATTAGAAATACTTGAACTACCTAAACCCCGAAAGTTATACCCGATCAACACTACTAATTTCAATTTCATTTCGTGTGAACCACGAACCAAACATAATCCGGAATTAATTACAAGTTCATTTCTTGCCAACCAAATAAACATATGAAATTTGATTCAAATTCCTATAAATTCTTTTTATATTTTTAATTTTAATTCCTTCATAAATATTTTGCAAAACAAATAATTCTTTAAAGTGATCAATGTTGATTGACATGTTTGTTGTAGTGGGCGACTATATGGGTTGGATATTGGGTATTTTTGTTTCTTGAACCGGATCGGTAGTAAAAACGTAGTTACTAATATTACACTATATTAAGGACATCTTCACCCTATATTAAAAAACATTTTTTTCTATTATAAATTACATTTTAATTTTTCAACTCTACATTATACCTAAGACTATATATAGTGTTGATGAATAGTATATTGATCAACGCTAAATATAGTGTTGAAGTTTCACTTATATAATTTGGTCCTTTAACTTCGAACACAGTTAGGTTTTGTTTATTTTATACAAATATAATGTTTATATAATAACGTTATTTGTGTTATCGTATTTAATAAAACCGTTTACAAATGTTTTATTCATAAATATTTGATAATATAAATTATTAAGCATTTGTAATAAAAATGTATTAGTCAAGTTTTTTAAAAACCTAATAAATATAAATGTTGTTTTTGTAAAATTATAAAAGTTGAATAAAAAAATAATATACATAGAATATACATTTTAGTATTAAATATAATATAATTGGTCGAAGGAATTTATTGTTTACTATAATTATTTGTATATTGTAAAAAATTAATATTAAAGGCCGGAGATGGTTTAATGACCGGGGTTTTGTCCATTCTATATTCTCTATCTAGCCATTCTTGAAAAGTAAACAGTGTTCGAAGGTTATATCTTTCTCATTCACATCAATATTTATATATAATTAATAATTTAATACTGGAAAAGGTTTTTGTTTATAAAGAATAAAAAGGAAGACATATGCTTAGTCTTGAAGAAAAGGGATGTTTGGACAAATTTAACTCTTGAGTCAAGCCGTTAGAGTTTATGGAATGCTGCCGAAAATTTGGTTCAGCAGATGTTTAAAATAATCCTAAAAGTAAGCCAGCTGACAGATACAAACTTTTGATTGTTTCAATTTTCTGTATTTCCTTCTTCCTCCATTACCTTTATTTATCCTTATACTTTGTTCTTTCTATTAAATGGTAAAACCAACGGCCTCCATTGTTAATGCAACCCTCTTCTTATATTCTTTATAAAAGTACAAAAATCGTTATTCAATTTCGAAAGGAATAACAAAAACCAAAATAATTTCATTTTCCAAAAAATGCATTTGGTAAAACTAATTTACAGGTATATAGAACCGACGTAGACAAAGTGTTTCAACAACAACAACAAAAGAAAAGAAAAAAGAAAAAAGAAAAAAGAAAAAAACAGGGTCGTCTTGAAAAACGAAAATCATAAAAGTTCAGAAGAGTTAAGTTTGGATCAAGATAATTTTTTTTTTAATTAGTAACGATATATACTTTTTTTTCGAAATTTAAAACTTGAGTATATAGCTTAATTTTGGAAGTTGCAATCATATATTTTAATTGTGATCGTACAATGAGTGAGATGACAAACGGGCAACAAGCTGTGCCGTCAAGCCTTTTTGAATGGTAAAGCTAATTCTTTTAAAGACTACATCCGAAGATCTAAGGGATATAACATTACTATGCATGATTCGTTGTACTCTTTTAAGAAGCTCTACCGCATCTGGTGCGAGGAAACCAAACGTATCAAATGCAAATGGTATGAACACGTGTTGATTTTCCATACACGATTTCTCATGTTTGGTGACTTTGCCTGTAGCTGCTTTTAAAACAGCATGTCCCGCCGTGAAACCCCAGCCCTCAGGCCCACGAGAGGGGATATTCAACAAAAACCCAAAAACCTTGTATTCAGAACTCAAACTTATGATTTTTTTAATAGCTAAAACATTTATAAGACAAAGAGGAGGACCTCCACTACACTGGCTATACTACTCTCACATTTCAAATACCACACTCGCCTCACATCTTGACTTAAGTAAACTTAAACTAGGGGGTACACTTTATTCTGCAACTTTCATTCATTTTCACATTTCTCTACTCTCACTCACGACCCTTTAACCTTCCCCTCCATTAGCATTATTTTCTTAAAGTATACAACAATTATAATTTAATAATATGAAAAATAATAAAAAGATATACTTCATTAATTCAAAGTAAATAAAAATATTACATAAAAATTAAACTTAAAATAACACTAAAACATAACAATAAAATAAACAAGTCTAATTGATATTTTTTCCTAATTCTCTATTTCACCATAAAAACAATGACAAATTCTTTTCTTGAAAATTGGTCGGTACATTTATAAAAAAAATCATAACTTTGAGGCGTTGTCACAACAAGAAAAGGCACCTTTAGGGACGACTTAAAGCATCGCAAATAGTCAAGAAAGTCGCCCCTAAAGGTATTAGGGACTACATATCGTCTCAATTGGGTCGCCGCAAATATCTCATAGCTAATACTCAACAGTTGTCCCTGAAGGCGTCGCCCCTAATAACCATCGTCCCTAATACCAGCCGTCGTCCCTAATAATATTCCGGCCACCGGCCAGTGTTACTTCGGCAAAATAATCTCGCGGTAGTTGTCGTCGCTAATGCTCAAGATCGTCCTTAAAGGTGTAACAACTAATGCCTGTTTTTTTTTAAATAAAATTTATATTTTATACTAGTTTATATTATTAAAATGCAGAATTTATAAAAATATAAAAATTATAATTTAAAAATATGCATTACATAAAATATCAAATAACATACACAAAGTATATCACATTACATAAACAATTTAACAAACATTTAATAATAGTCGAAACATGAAATAGTAGTCGATCTAGTCCATACTCTAATAAATCCATAATAACATCATTCACAACATTAAACAATATATACTAATTGTCTTCCCCATCGTCGTTTTCCTTGTCGTTGTTGGTTGCATTGTCGACTTGCTTGCTAAATGAGCGGATAATATCTCCAATTGCCGTCACTAGTGTTGCAAAACTCGGCTTACTCGGCCGATTACTCGGAATCGGCCCTCCACCGAGGCGAGTAATGTGAACTCGGCAAAAAAAACTCGGATTAAGTTAAACTCGGTTAAAAATCGGTCAAACTCTGTCAAAAATCGGTCAACATCTCACTAACTCGGGCCTACTCGGTATTACTCGGTCTTACTCGGGCCTACTCGGTGAAACTCGGCCAACTCGGTCAAAATCGGTCAAACTCGGTCAAAGGGTCAAAATTTTCATAAAAAGAGAAAAAAATCAAGAATTTCAAGATTAATATGTATAATACACTTAATGATTTATTATTTAACACACACATGTGACTATTACTACATATATATCTTAAATTTTTAGTAATTATTCACGAAGTGAGACAATTGTGTGTATTTCAGTTTTTATGTATTCACATGTATCTAATTTTGTTATATATTTCAATCAAATTATGATTTTAACTTATGATTTTGACATATATAATTTTCCTAAAAAAATTTCTACATGAATTACCGAATCCGAGTACTCCCGAGTACTCGGTACTCCCCAGTCGGCCGAGCAGGTACCGAGTAGCGAGTTCTACAACCTTGGCCATCACAAACGTCGGGTTTTGGAGAAAAGCGTTAACATCCACATCCTACAATGTAAGAATATAAGTTAAAATATATCAAACTATAAAAACAAATTATTATTACTTAACAATTAAGTCACAAACACATTAAGTCCTTAACAATTTAACAAACTACCAAATTCATAACAATTTAACAAACTAACAAACTAACAAACTACCAAAGTACGAAACAACAAAATTCACAACAAATTAATAAGTACCTGTGTTGGTTGTGGTGTTTGTGACTGTGACTGCCACTGAGAGGGAGCACTTGTATCCGCTACGGAAGGCTTAGGCCCGATACCTTTCACAAGTCCCCTTCGAGCACCTAACACCTTCTCAAATAAGGTTATCCAATCAATGGAGTTTGGATCACCACCAGAGTCGACTATGTGTTGAGTTTGTAAAGCAACCGCAGTAACTAAAGCATTCTGCATTTCACGAAGATTGTCAATATACTTCAAACCAAACACAAAAAAACAACATTCTAATTCATTTTTAAGTAATAATAACTTACATATTGTTCTTCAACTAACGGGTCAACGAATTCCCTTTGTTTATTGACTTGTGCACGGTGAAATACTTCAAGTTTATTAAAATTTCGTTTAACATTAAAAAATATATTATACCTGAATAAACATTACAAAATATGTTATAACTGAATAAACATTAATGTAACTTACATTTTTGAAAGAAGCACTACCGTAGCTGCACATCCCTATACGATTCTTAACTACTTGCTTCTTCCGGTATTCTTTGTTTAAACTGGATCGTTTACAATGCGTATCAGTTAAGAAGTGGTCAATAGTAGCACTCCAACGCGTTGAATCCATACCCGGGGGGTGGGGGGGTTGAGCCCTTGCTGCCTCCGCACCCTCTAACATATCTATAAATTTATCTTTTGCCCTATTTTTGCGGCCTCTATACCGCTGACATATCCGATGGTTTAGTGATTCCCATAAAATTCTAGCATCGGAATCATTTGAAATGGCTTGAAAATCAAAATATGTCTACAAAAAATAGAGAATTTAAAAATAAATCAAAATTAAACATGTTAATTAAATATTTTACGGAAAGATACGTAAACATGCCATTCCGATTGGCTTCAGGAACTTCTTTCCAGGTGTTCTTATCCAAATCTATGTCGCGCCACATATAACTTCCAACCTACCGAATGAAATCAGCACAAAAGTATTTCTGTTAAATATTATTTTTAGAGGCCGTCTGCCTTTTGCATCATATAGCCGATGCATTTTCTTGTTTACTACCATGCATCTTCGTCTGGGAGGTACAGCTGCAAAAAAAATATTTGTTATATACATACAATATGAAATACAATGAATTAGAATAAATCTTAATTACCATCAATCTGGTGAACACCAATATCTCCACCGAATGGATGTGGTGGCTTGTCACCACCATCACCTCCATGGCCCATCACAGCAGCCATGAGATGAACCAATGCAACCCAAAAAATGACATCCTGAAAAATTATAACACTATATATATATATATATATATATATATAATATATATATATATATATATATATATATATATATATATATAACAATATGAAAAATTCTAACACAAGTGGGAGTTGTTTTTCTATATAGCATTGTACTTTAAATGTGAATTATAGCATATTTTTATTATTTATAGCACCTTAGTTATGTAGTTTTTCTATTATACATTGTACTTTAAATGATAATGTGAATTATAGCATACAATTTTTTTTTTGTTTTTTGAATTAACATTGTGAATCACAACATTTTACATAAAAATACACATATACACAAGCAAATAATGTCGAACCTAACCGTTATATTTTTGTTGTGAATACATATGTCTTAACACAAGTAAATGCATCTAAGTGAAATAAACGTTATTATATTGATAAAAGAGATGAGAAATATAAACAAATAACACGACTATTATCCATACCAAATACCAAATACACATATACACACATATTTTATACATATAGACATACCAAATACCAAATACACATATACACACATATATTTTATACATATACACATACCAATACCAAATACACATATAGACACATATATTAAGCAACTAAGCTATTACCTATCTTAAAACCAATCAGGAATACATTTTTGCAGATTTATACATTCACAGATTTACAACATATACACATATAAATATACAAATTCAATACCAAATACAAACACGTAAATATACTAATTCAATACAAAATACAAACACATAGACCAAATACACATATATACCCCAATTCCAAATAGACATATACATATACGCATATACAAAATACCAAATAGACATATACATAGACCAAATACACATATATTCAAATTCCAAATACATATATACACATACCAAATAGACATATACACAGACCAATATAGATATATATTCGAATTCCAAAAAGACATATACATATACACATATACAGAATACCAATTACACATATACAAATACACATGTACATACTTTTGATTATACTAAATTAACATATATTCAAACACATTTTCTTGAAACACATTTTCAAATACACATACACATACACATATATCAAATTCCTTATACAAAATACACATACAAACATATATCAAATTCATACATACACATACACACAAAAAATGAACGCAGTTGTGGTTGTAGAGCTGAAAACAGTGGAGCTGCGGTGGTGGTCGTCACCGGAGACAGGCGGCAGACGGCACAGTAGCGGTGATGTGGTGGTAAAGAAAGAAAGAAAAGATACAGAAATTAGAAAGAAAAGAAACAAAAAGAGAAAGACAAAAGACGGTGGAAATGAGAAAGGGAAACACACCTTCGTCGGAGACAGTGGCGAGCTGAGGTGCTAATAGTTGCCGGTTGAGCAACTGGAACGCCGGTGAGAAGATGGAAATCCCTTCGGCTGAAGAAGTGGGATGCGTCGGTGATTTCTGTGATGGAAATTACAAAGTCGTCGGAAAAATGCTTCACTGATTGTCGCCGGAAATGAGAGACAAATGGAAGAGTAATCAGGTTCTGCGACCTAGTGGTGAACAAAAGGTGGAACTCTTTAGGGGCGACACCTTTAAGGACGCCTTTTGAATCTTTAGAGACGATAATTTGGAGGGAAATTCACGCGCCCATTTTTCGCGACTTTTAGCGGAGACATTGTCATCACAAATGGCGTCGTCCCTATTGGTGTGAACAGTAGCTAACCCCATCTGTTGGATCAGGATACAATCGTAGGGACAAAATTGATCCAGAGGCATTCACACGGATTGCCGATCAAACCCTTTAGCGACGCCCTTATTAGCGACGACAAAAACTCGTATTGTCAAGTGTCAATTCTAAAACTGCATGTCGTTCCTAATGGTGTTGTCCCTAAAGCGTATATTTCTTGTTGTGTGTTTTCCATTGCGAGTTTTGTTTTTCTTCGAAAGTTTTTTTTTCTTTTCTAGCCGATTTCTCCTTTTCGAATTACAAACAACAGGTAAAATTCAAATTATATTGTTCGAAGTTTATTTTCACACTTTTCATTTTCTTCGTTTTGCTTAATATCTACGCAATATAGAAGAAAATCTCTTTTTCGATTTATCTCTATCTTTCAGGCGGAGTATTTCTTTGAGTTCAAACTATCATCTACGTTTAACTCTAGTCCAACAAGTGCATTAACGAAACTTGCGTAACTTGTCTCCAATGTTTTTGTTATGTTTGATGCATTGGCTTCTTTTCCTACCTCGATACAACATTCTAAAACATGACATATTTGAACAACTTCTTCATTATTTTCCAACCGATAGATTTCTAGCACCTACTAAACAATGTCATCATTAGTTTATCCTATTTTATGTTGCATTTTTATGTGGTTGTACAAATTGTTAAACTTTATAACTATTATGTTTGTGTTCTGATACATGGTTGTCATTTCGTGTTTTGAACTATACTCTCCATGACCCATTTCCCTATGAAAACATTTGGTTGGCTGCTAGTGCATTTTTAGTCATTTCGTGCTTCTCCAAAAATGATTAGCTGCTAGTGCATTTTTAGTCTTTAGGTCCTCCGATATGTCGACTTCAAAATGGGCCAACACAAATTCTACATTCATAGTCACAATTGGGTGTGTTCCTTTCCTTTTCCTTTCATTTGGTATAGTTGGTATGGTCTGATGTTTGGTTGAGGTTAGGTTTCGGGGATGTCCTCGAGTGATGGTTACATTTCTAGAATGAACTCGACTTTTTTGCTTAGGTGGGGTTGGGTTTTTAGAGAATATTTAGGAAGAGGAGAAAAGTCGTTAAATAGGCTAGGGGTAAGGGTTGGCATAGAGAAAACGGTTGCGTATTTTGGAATTATAAATTGGTGTGAATTAATAAAGGCGTGTATTTATGATCGATAAATTGGTATTGATGGATCCAAAGCATAAATGTTTCTAGTAGGTATCTTGAACCAGTAGCACATGATTTATTTCGAATGGAACTTGGTGTGAGGTTGTTAGAAGAATCATCAACATGTTTCAACCAAGCATTGTAAGTTTCTCTAAGAACAGGAGCAAATCATCAGGAATAGGATCGAGAAGTACATACAACTTCTTTTCCAATTTGAGAGCAATTCTCAAATTTTGATGGCAATCGATGAAGTTTGTATGGTTTATTTTCTCATTCTCAAGGAAAGTTAAAAGATATTTGGTTAGGTGGTTTGCTTTTTATGCCATCTATAAAATTTTAACAAAGTTCAGTAAGTATTTTTCGATATTTAACTCTTTAATGATTAATATCGTTTATATTTCTTAAACGTTAATTGATTAATTTCTAGGATCCAACATTGAAAATTAAATAAATAGTTATGTGACCTTTATCCCATCTATTAGTTCAATAAGGTGGATAATGTTTATCAATTACATCCAAATGTAATTCCTAGATATATGATATCTTAAACAACACTTATTAATTGACATGTTTGATCTCATCTATGCCTCAGGTCGCTAATGCGTAGGTGACCTGTATCACAAAAGATTCCTGATCAAGTAATCCAACTTGCAAGACATGTAGAATCAACACATAACTAGTGGTTAGATGACCTTTATCGCACTAGAAATTAAAAAATTACCTCGAACATCAAAAGATAAATCCAAGTGGTTAGGTAACAATTATCCTACAAAGAACATTCAAGTGACAAGTGAATGTCTCTTTAGAAAATGACATAGACTTACATTTAAAAGAGATTTTTATGTTTTGTAATTCAATTTTTGAAAATATATTGTATCACGTATATTGCATGCATCCAATAACATATGATAATTTTATAAAAAATCAATTTTTTTCTAGAGCCTTAAAGTTTGTTATGAGTTTTATAATCTCCATTTTTACTAATTATGCCATTTTAAACAATTTAAAACTTTTAGAATAGAACTCCTTTTACTTTAAAATTCATTTTAGCGTCTTTTATTAAAATGATTATTTTGAATAAAAGAAATTCCATGATGATATATGTTTTATTATTTGGTTGCCTAGCCTAAAAATTCCTATTTTGATCCATATAAAAAAAATCCCCCAGCTACAACTATATGATATTTCTTGTAAGTTATACATGAAATATCAAGTCCTTTTCCTAGGGGACAATAAGGACCAAAATCTTCATGAAATGTTGTTGTAGCTACCACTTTCCAAATAATCAAATGAATGAAAGATGTTTAAGACTCCATGTGGTATTGGATCAAAAAAATTAAAACCCAACATTTTTGTTTACGCTGCTCAAGGTCAAGAGCATCATGGTTGAAGAAAATGATTTCCATCTTTTGACCTTTAATATGGCCTCCTTATTCATGTGTTGTTACATTGTAAAATATATACAATAGTGAAGTACTAATAATACTTACAAAATTAACACAAGGAACAAATAACTATTTACTATTTGCAAACCATTTGAATGAGTGAATATTATTACAACCATATTGAAAAGTCCAACATTACACAATACATGGCCAATGGCTTGTTTATGCACATATTCCCAATAACATTTTGTTTTTATAAGGCAACATCTATGTGACCAAATGCATGTAAGTTCAAAAAGACTTTGATCACATAAACATAAAACTACCAGTGCATCTTGCTATAGAATCCATGCATGAATCTTTCATGTGATCATGAAAATCGTCCATGTCTTCAAAAAACCAATTGATAGTAATTTAGCGTTCAAGTTTGAGTTTTAAAAAAAACTTTTGAATTTGCAATGGAATTCCTTTTAAAAAAAACTTGAACAACATAAAATCCCACAAAATATCACATTACACGGACATGCAAGAATTTTAGCAACCATAGAAGGAAAAAGATTAATAACCTTTTTAGTTCTCTAGTTTACTTGGGAAGTTTATTGTTGTTAAAGATGGTAGAACCGATGGAAGAGATCCTCTAGAGGTATCGACCGAATTCCCTAATGAATTGGTTATCTTTAAATATACGTAGTCTCTAGTCT